CCCAAGAACAATGGCAATGGGTTTTTGATCCTACTGCACCTATTGGTTTTGTGGGAGCCTAGGCAGTTTGGATGCTCACCTTACTAGAACTGGATGGAGGTGGGTGGTCCTTGGACTTCCCACAGGGCAGGGAACCCTGATTGCTCTTTGGACTGACGAGGGAGGGGGACTTCATTGGGGGAGGGGGAGGGAAAGGGGAGGCGGAGGTGGGGAAGAGACAGAAATCTTTAATTAATAAATAAATTAAGTAATTAATTAAAAAAAGAAATCTGGCTTAGGATCATTGTAAGCAAATGATTGCTTTTCCCATAGTTTCACATTCTTCCTTTGTTCTAAACCTTGGACTGACCTCAAGCTTTGACCACTGTGGGGAATAACTTACAACCTTGTTTCATTTCATACTGTTGGTATGCTGGTGAATTTTTTAAGTTGTGTGCTAACTGCAATAGATTATATGAACTGAGGGGAAAAAAGAAACTTGGCTTAGGTTGGGCTGTGAAGCAACCACCTAAACAACCGTGTATGGCTGGAGTTCAGGTCTGCCAGGAAAGAAGCAGCGAGACCAGTCACAGAGTTGTGAAGGCAGAACTCTTGTTTCCTCTTTGGGGACAGAAGAAAGAAAGGAAGCAAGCAAGCAAGCATGGGAGGTTCTGTAGCTTCTCTGAGAGTATCTTGACCTCCACGATGCTGTCCTGTGAGTTTTAGCAACTCAGTTGCCACTGTTTGGAAGATGCTGAACACTGCACGGCCATGCGCCAAATGTCCTGTCTCTTAGGAAGAAGTCACTGAGCTGAGCCAGGAACCAAACCCTGCGTGGTTCCCCTTTCTTAACCCTTCTCTTGAAGATCATATCCTCTGAGTATCTCAACAGAGTGCAGGAAACCCACGCAGTGGGACACTGTATTTCCCAGAATGGTATAGCTCTGGCCAGTGCAAGTCCCTGACACAAGCATGCAACTGCAATTACATACATGTAGAGCCTTGTCCAGGAGAAATGCAAACAGGTCACATGTACAGGGTGTCTGCAATGTGTCAGATGGTCTATCACTGAATTAACATACAGCATCAGATTAAATTCCTACATGACTTAGTTGGGGTTTCTATTGCTGGGAAGAGACACCATGATCATAGAAACTCTTATAAAGTAAAACTTTTAATGAGGTCCGTTATCATGATGGAACATTGTGGTGTGCAGGCAGACAGTGCTGGAGAGGGAACTGAGAATTCTACACATTAACCCAAAGGCAACAGGAAGTGAACTGAGATACTTATTGGGGGCCTTGAGTACCAGACTCAGTACCCCCTCAGGGCTCAGAACTGGATGTGTATGGCAGGCAGGATCTGAGGGTAAAAATTAACTCAAGTACATTACCTCTGCATCTTCTTTATTTTTTGTGCAAGGGGAAAAATGAAGTGAATGGGGCACAGAGGAGAGGAAGAATAAGAAGAGTAAGGGATAGAAAAAGGAGAAAAAAAGGAAAGTAAGGGGAAGAAGTAGAAGTAGCCAGGAGAAGAGGAGTAAGGGCTAATCTCCATGAGGTTTCTAGTTTTTACAGATGGAGCTGGAAAGTTCCACAGGCAAGGACAGTGATAATATGCAGATCAAAATCACAAAAGGGGCAGGTAGAACCTGACAGAGCTGCACTGTGAAACAGGTGACCCGACCCAGGAAAGAGCCAGCATTCAAGGGGAAGTAACTGACATCCCAAACCATTAAAGTTACCAAACATCCCTGAATCCTGGACTCACCCACTCTCCTCATCTAATCTCTTTTGTGATAACCAGCTTTGGGGATGCCCAGGTTTGTTTGTTAGCAAAGGTGGGACATACTGTCTTCTGTAGAAATTTCTAGGTGGTCTGTTAGCGGGTAATTTTGTGGGACTGACTCTTTGTAAACTTGACTGTTAGTACAAAGAATGAATGTTATCACTCTAAGGCCTCATGGTGTGGGGGGAACGGAGCCCTTGCTCATGCAGAAATCACACTGCTGAAGTGTTTTGGGAACAAATCCTATTTCAAAGGGAAGAATCATAGCTTCACAAGGTTCCTACAGATATGACAGTGACTTCTCCAAAAGACAAGTGTTCCCGCAGCTCTGCAAAACGGGTTGCTCCGTGTGGACGTGTATATATACACTTTCTGTGGATCTGCCTATTGGTCTGTCGGCTGTGCATTTACTGTATAGTCTTGTGGGCTTCAACAGATACTGGGTGTGGCTTGAGCAGATATGAGACCTCAAAGCCCACCCCCACAGTGACACACTTCCTCCAAAAAGGCCACACCTGCTCCAACAAAGCCACACCTGCTAGTAGCTCCATTCCCTGAGCTTATGGGGGTCAATTACATTCAAACTACCACATACAATGCATTTTTAATTTTTTAGATTTATTTATGTGCATAAACATTTTGACTACATGTATACATGTGCACCACATGAGTTCCTGGTGCCTGCAGAGGTCAGAACATGAATTCCCTGAAACTGGAGTTATAGATGATTGGGAGCCACCATGTGGGTGTAAACACTTCAAAATTCAAAAGGAATAAATTCTATAGTTTTAAACACTTTGAATTTTATTATATAGTTTTTATTTCATTCTCAACTCACTTGACAATATATTGAACTCAGTAAATATATTAAAATTTCATATGCTTGGTGGTGAGTGGGAGTAAATTCAAGCATAACACATGTCATTTATATAGTGGTGGAAGATTTTTCTGTCTTTTTCTTTGTTTTCTGCTTTTATAAATGAAGAACTGGGTAGAGAAAGATATATCTTCAAATACTTAACTTTGGGATGGTTTGGAAAGGATTCTTTCCATTAGGTAACACTTGAACTAAAAGACTTATCAGAATCAAGACAGGTAAAATTAAAAAAAAATCAAAATTGAGACGCTGGTTTTTTTCAAGACTGAGTTTCTCTGTGTAGCTTTGGTGCCTGGAACTAGCTCTTGTAGACCAGGCTGGCCTCTAACTCACAGAGATCCGCCTGCCTCTGCCTCCTGAGTGCTGGGATTAAAGGTGTGCACCACCACTGCCCAGCAAGACTTTTTTTTTTTTTTTTACCAGTGAAAAAAGGCACCTCAAGCACACCAAACCATTGTTCGGGGATACTGATAACTCCTTAGTATAAGAGCAGTGTATATTATGTATATTTTTAGATGCTCTACCAGTCCCTAGTAGATGTTCTTTTCAATGCCAGTATATAGCCCTTGGGTGTAGTGCAGAGGCGGGGGGCCTGGAAACAGGAGCACTATTGCATCAGTGGAGGACAACAGGAGAGCGAGTGATGAGAAGGAAGAGTGGGGTGCACCAAGATAGGCTAGTACCACTGAACAGTGGATTGCCCTTTCCTTCCTCCCAAATCCTGGAAGGCACGATGGACTCTGGACTTGAGCTTCTTCAGCAGGTTATCAGCCAACTATCCTAGCTTTGTAGAGGTCCTGATGCCCTCACAGAGAACTTGCACTAGCCCGGATCTGGTAGCTACTCATGATCACCTCCTTCCTCCAGTCCTGGCAAGATCTCCATAGAGCCAACCCATCCAGAGGCTAGCAGGCAGAGGACTCTTGATAAAGTCCTTGATTTTTTTTGGGGTGGTGGTGGTGGGAGGTAGCGGTGGGGCACACACACACNGGGGAGGAGTCTTGTCACAGGCCTGTTTTACACATGCCAGGGAGGACCACTGGGGAGGAGTCTTGTCACAGGCCTGTTTTATTAGGAGGCCTCTTTCACCTTCACAGCTCTAGGAACTTGGCTGCAGAGACATTGTGGTCTCTGGATTCCTTGTCATGTGGCCAAGGATGCAGACAGAGTGGGAGGCAGGCTGCCTGTGCGAAACACAAGCAGAGATGAGCCAAGGCCACTCAGAGCTCCGCGTCCCCATCTTTTCTTTCTAACTCTATGTTGCAGAAAATGTCAGCCATATGAACAGAGGCCATCATGCACTGAAGCCCAGGCATGCAGCCCTCCCCCAGCTGGCATCACCCGGCTGGCATCATGCCAGCTTATATTTCATTTCCCCTCTGCTAGTGTAGTTTGTGTTTCTTTCCTGTTGGCTGGATGGCCACCTAAGCATCCCATCCCAGGAAAGGCTATGTGATGAAAAGAATCAGCCCTTTATTGATCTGTATTAAAAATGGGTACTCAACTATGCACTGACTTCAACTGTTCCCTCCCTCAGGGTACAGCAACTTCCCTAATCAAAGCCTTGAATGCAGCGGGATGCCTGAAGCCCAAGTTCCCCTTCCTAAGCGTGAGGCGGTCTGTCCTCCTCTACGTAGGATTTCATCTCAAAGGTAAGCTTTCTAAAGGACCACCACTCAGAGGCGCTCAGCACTTGGCCCATGACTGGCAGACTGGGCTGGTTATTATTTCCTTGTACAGGAAGGGGCAGATGAAACACAGGTGAAAATGAAAATATCGAACTGAAATTGCCATTTTTTAAGTCAAGCACTATAAACTGCACCTGGTAGCACAGGCCCGTAAAATCCCAGCTGCGCAGGCCGCTGAGGAGGATTCCAGGATCAAAGCCTGCCTAGGTTATGGAGTGAGCTCCACTACAGCCTTGGCCACTTAGGAAGACCCTGCCACAAAAACAAGTTTAAACTAGGCACGGTGGCACATACCTTTAATCCCAGGACTCGGGAGGCAGAGGCAGGCAGATCTCTGTGAGTTCAAGGCCAGCCTGGTCTACACAGCCAGGGCTACACAGTGAGGCCTTATCTCAAAAAAAAAAAAAATGCAGAGGTGTGGGCATAGTGGCAGAGCACTTGCTTAGTGTATGTGAGACCCTAAGTTCAACCCCAAGCACCACAGAATTAATAATATAATAAAATCAGGGTAATAATAGTCAACACTCAAAAATCCATGCCATAAGAAAGGTGAACACAGAAAATTACGGTCTAAGATAGTGGCCCTCTAACCTTACCCAAGATGGGACCATCTTCCCCTTAGCTAGGTGGCCTACTTACACACAAAGTTCTGCCTTGTTGAATGGCTTACTAACCACCTTATCAGAAAGCATTCATAACTTGGTGACATTTTCTACAGCCTTTAATCCGAAAGGTTCTGAATATTCAAGAAAAAAATACAAGAAGAAGATGGAGAAGTTTTTGGAAAGATGTGAACTCATAACATACCTGAGTGCCAAGATGACCCGGAAGTACAAGGAGCCTCAGTTTAGAGCCATTGACTTCGATCACAAGCTACAGACCTTTTTGGCTCTGAGAAACATAGACCCCGTTACCGGATAACTTGCTTAGGTTACCAAGTCCCAAATTTCTCAAATCTTCTCTAAGGGAGAGAAGGACTTAAGGGAGCAGACTTCAAATCTTGCATTTTCTGAAGTTTATTTCCCTCTTATCTGATGTTATGTGGCCGCCAGGTCTCAAATGGACTCAAAGGCCTATTAGGAAGGGTCACCCTCTGAGTACCTAAGTGTTAATATAATTTTCAAGTTTATTGCCTTTTTCTGAATTTTGATGCTTCCACAAAATGGGCATCCTGTTTGAGATATTAAAATGCTTACTAAATCTATTTTCTATTTTCTTTTCTTTTGTTGCTTGCTTGTTTGTTTGAGACAGAGTCTCTCTACAAAGCACTGACTATCCTGGAACTCTGCAGACCAATCTGGCCCCAAACTCACAGAGATTTGTCTGCCTCTGCCTCCACGTGTGCCACCATGTCTGACTTTCAGTAGAAAGCCAGTCTCTGTTAAAGAGAAGTACGCATTAAACATTAGGAAGTTTCAGGAGACAAGCAAGCTAGTGGGAACCTTGGTAATACTTTTGACATAGGGAATTGTTTGTACATTTTCTGAATGGAAGACACTGTCATTTTCTTTTTTTCTTTCTTTTTTATTTTATTTATTTATTTGGTTTTTCAAGACAGGGTTTCTTTATAGTTTGGAGCCTGTGCTGGAATTAGCTCTTGTAGATCAGGCTGGCCTCAAACTTACAGAGATCCGCCTGCCTCTGCCTCCCAGTTGCTGGGATTAAAGGTGTGCACCACCACCACCTGGCTGACACCTGGCTCGAAAGGCAGAGGCAGGTGAAGGTCTGAGTTCGAGGCCAGCCTGGTCTGCAGTTCGAGTTCCAGGACAGCTAGGGCTACAAAAAGAAACTCTGTCACAGAAAAACACAAAAAGACACTGTTATTTTCTCAGCAAAATAAATGAAATCAGTAGCAAGTAACTGGCTGCCCCTTTCCTAAGTGGTCGCTAATGCATAATTAGTATATAGTTCTATAATTAGAAATCACCTTGGGTCCTAAGAAAGAAGAAATTCAGATTTTTATGAAATCTGTCAAAAAGCATATAAGGCAGAGAAACAGTTAACTAAGTTGGATTTGAGTGAATTTTAATATAAGATCAAATTTTTAGCAGCTGTATAAAATAGTTAGAATTCTTAATAGTAAAAATGTAAGGCTAGAGAAGGGGCTTATCAGTTAAGAGCACTCATATTCTCTGCACAGCTTAGAGTACCTAGAACTTCAGTTTCAGGGACTCATGCCCATTCTGTCTCTGAGGGCACCTCTACTCACATGCACACCCCCAAAATTAAAAATAAGTAAATGTATGTGTGCATGTGTGTGTGTGTATGTATGTATGTGTGTGTGTGTGTGTGTTCATGGCGAGTGAAGGGAGAGAGAACAATGTAGTTAGTAACATAACAATTCCTAAGCAAAAGCTAGAACGCAGGACTGGAAATGTGGGCAGCTGTGAGATGCTTGGTTCATATACAGGAAACTCCCCAGAACCTCACATAAAACCCAGGCATGGCGGCACATACTCGTGATCCCAACACTTGGAAAGTAGAGACAGGAGGATAAGAAGGTCAAAATTATCCTCAGCTACATAGTAACAGTCCACGTTCAAAGCCAGTCTGGGCTATAGGGAAACCTGTTTCCAACAAACAAAGAAAAAGGTGAAGGAGGGGGAGAGATGGAGGGAGTGAGAAAGGGATGGAGAGAGAAAGGAAGGAGGAGGAGGAAAAAAAGAAGAGGAGGAAAGGAAAGGAGAAGACAAGACAAAATTCCCTAAAGTCTGTTAGAAGATTGGGAGTTGACTACAAAGGTTTTCAGGGTTTTTAAGCCACGCCCACTCTTATTCCCATTTTTTTATTTTCTTCCTTCTTTCCTCTCTCTCTCCCCCTTCCCTCTTTCCTCTCTCTCTCTCTCTCTCTCTCTCTCTCTCTCTCTCTC